TTAGGCATGAAAGCCGGCTGGGTGACTTTGGGCCAATCACCAGGAAACGGTGAGTTCTAGTCCCGCCTTAGGCATGAAAGCCAGCCGGGTGATTTGGGCCAATCACCAGGAAATGGTGAGTTCTAGTCCCGCCTTATGCATGAAAGCCGGCTGGGTGACTTTGGGCCAATCATCAGGAAACGGTGAGTTCTAGTCCCGCCTTTAGGCATGAAGGCCGGCTGGGTGATTTGGGCCAATCACCAGGAAATGGTGAGTTCTAGTCCTGCCTTAGGCATGAAGGCCGGCTGGGTGATTTGGGCCAATCACCAGGAAACGGTGAGTTCTAGTCCTGCCTTAGGCATGAAAGCCAGCTGGGTGACTTTGGGCCAATCACCAGGAAATGGTGAGTTCTAGTCCCGCCTTTAGACATGAAAGCCAGCTGGTGATTTGGGCCAATCACCAGGAAATGGTGAGTTCTAGTCTCGCCTTAAGGCATGAAAGCCAGCTGGGTGATTTGGGCCAATCACCAGGAAACGGTGAGTTCTAGTCCCGCCTTTAGGCATGAAAGCCAGCTGGGTGATTTGGGCCAATCACCAGGAAATGGCTAGTTCTAGTCCTGCCTTAGGCATGAAAGCCAGCTGGGTGATTTGGGCCAATCACCAGGAAATGGTGAGTTCTAGTCCCGCCTTTAGGCATGAAAATTGGCTTGGGTGACTTTGGACCAGGCTCTCTCCACTCAACCCACTTCACTGGGTTGTTGTTGTGGGGAAAACAGGAAGAAGAAGGGGTATTAGGTATATCACCACCTTGACTTACTTATAAAGTAATAAAGGCAGGATAAAAATCTAATGAATGCTATTAATAATGATGTGATGTTACTACCATAACGCTTCACGTGATCTTGATTCTACGCCTCTCTTAATGCAGCCCTGGGCTTTTTTTTGGCAGCTGCAGCACCCACTGCTCGATCATATTTAAGAGTTTTAACAGATATGGATACCTGTATCATATTGAACAGACGAGGAGATCTGTTTTCTGGAAAGAAAGACAGAGGGTTTGAATTGGTTTTGCAAACGGGTTCAGGTCAAGATGGCTAGGAATGCAACCCATAGTTGTGATCCGGAGCGAAACCTGCCAACGTGAGTTCAGGACCATAGACAGAGCTAAACAAGAGTTGGACAGAGACAAGCATCCCTGCTGGATTTCTGCTCGGACAGGCCTGCTCACTTTATCGATCAATCCAAATAGAGCTGGAAGGGACCTTGAAGGTCTTCTAGTCCAGCCCCCTGCTCATGGAGGAGACCCTACAGACAAGTGACTGCCCACTGTCTTCTTAAAAAGCTCCAGTGTTGGAGCACCCACAACTTCTGGAGGCAAGTAGTTCCACTGGTTAATTGTTCTCACGGTCAGGAAATCTTTCCTTAGTTCTAGGTTGCTTCTCTCCTTGACTAGTTTCCTTCCTTATTGCTTCTTGTCCTGCCTTCAGGGGCTTTGGGGAATAGCTTGACTCCCTCTTCTTTGGGGCAAGCCCCTCAAATACTGGAATACTGCTATTACGCCACCCCTAGTCCTTTTTTTTCTGTAGACTGGCCATACCCAATTCCTGCAACCATTCTTCATATGTCTCCACTCTCTTAATCATCTTAGTTGCTCTTCTTTGCACTGTTTTTCCCCCAAAGTCTCAACATCTTTGGAAAAAAAGATTCCAGGGTGTCCCAGCGGAAAATAGCTTTTCCCATTGCCTGCGACCTGATCTTTTTCCACTGGAAATGCTAAACACCAAACTGGACATTTCTGACATCCAAATATTTGCATTTATTATTTCAATTAAGATGGCCATCCATCTCGAATTCATGACTCGGGGTAGTTCGCAGCGGTTAAAAATAATTGCTCTTTTTTATTACCCACTGTCTTGCTGCAACTTTCTCCTATGTTCTTGGTTTGATCTCTGAATTTTTCCTTTCCTTTCCTCCCTCCCCGTTGGTTGCTATTTTTATTTGCTTATTCCGTGGCCAAGTTAGATAATTGGCACATTTATCAATAACTAAAGTGCTCTGGGTCTGGGAGATCTATAGATGAAAATGCATTCTACATACATTTTCAATCCTCATCATTTCAACGCACAATTGAAGCTCTTGAAACTAAATAAGTGTTTGACTGGAAACCCCTGATGGGCTTTTTACTGGGAAAAAAAAAAGTGATTTATGGGTTTGATGATTAGAAAGGGGAGAATATGGAAAGAAGGAAATTATGATGTAACCCTTGAGAAGGTAAAATATAAATCCACTTGTAATTGCTGTTAAGAAGATGAGAAGCTGCTGCTTTAGAACTTTTTTTTTCCTTTTTCTTATCTCTCTCTTTCCTTGCATCACTTTCTCCCCTTCTTGTTGCTTTTCTCTTTATTCTTTTCAACATTTGTATTGTCTGAATTCTCTTAATATTTCTGTAATGATTTCTTTTTGAAAAAGATAAATCTATCCTATCACATCTCTCTCTCTATATATATATAGATATAGAAATAGATATATAGATATGTGTGTGTCTGTCTGTCTGTATTCTTTCTATCTATCTATCTATCTATATCAGTGAGCTGCAAATTTTTTAACAACCATTTCTCTGGCTGGGTAAACATGGCTGATTGGTCATGTGACTGGGTGGGTGATGTCACTCATCACACCCAGCCCCGCCTCCCGGCCACTCGCCTCAAAGGAAGAGGTAGGATTCAGCCAATTGGGGCTAATCCCACCACTGGCTGGCCCCGCCCCCATCCACTTTTTGGCTTGTTTTTGGTCCATTTTCAGGCTGTTTTTCGGGCCATTTTCAGGGCATTTCTTCAGGGTGTTTGGGGGTTATTTTTTAGGCCACTTTCAGGTTGGTTTTGGGCCATTTTTCGACCTTTTTCAGGCCATTTTTTTTTTGAGCCATTTTCAGGCTGTTTAGTTCTAAGGAGAAATTTCCTGACAGAACAATTAATCAGTGGATAGATTTGCCTCCAGAAATTTTCTCCTGCTTGAGCAAGAGGTTGGACTAGAAACAGTGTTGGTGAACCTTTTTTGACACTGAATGCCAAAACGGGAGCATGCATGCATGCCCAGGGGAGTGCCGGAAGCTGCAGGAGCAAAAGAGGGGGAAAAAACTCCAGAGAAGTTCCAGAGACAATAAGTCTAGTCCTGCCAAGAATGTAATAAGGGTTAATGGAGAGGCAGTTTCTGTAAGCAACACCAGAATGTTTCCTTCCTGCCTTCCTTACAGGATTAGCCCAGTAATTTCTTCTAACAACCGGTTCTCCAAACTGCTTAGAATTTTAACAACAACTAGCGAATAGGTGCGAACCTGTAGAATCCCACCCCTGCTAGGTCTCTGAGGTCCCTTCCAACTCTGTTCTGCTAACTGACTGTCTGTCTGTCTGTCTGTCTATCTATCTATCTATCTATCTATCTATCTATCTATCTATCTTTGTTGTGGTCTGCGGCAGCCTGCAGAGCTGACAGCAGAATCGGACAGTGGGGAGGAACATGGGCCAGTCCTGGAGTCTGGGGTGGGGCACGTACGAGGGATCTGCATCCAACACAGAGATGGGGCCAGGACCATCTGAGAGTTATGTGCTGACTCTGGAGCCCCCAGAATCTGGCATTAGCGAGGCAGAGGAACATGGGGAGCCTGTTCCCAGTGTGCGCTTGCACAGAGCTGCCAGAAGACAAGAACAGTTAAGACAAAAGGGGTGACTCGGGAGTAAGGCTTGGAGATGATTGGCCCCTCCCATAAGACGTAAAGGAGGAGCAAAGGGACAGGAGTCTTTGCAGGAAGCAACTTTGTTCGCTCTGGTCGATTTAAAATCTGACTTTGTGCTCCATTTAGCCTTGTACAACTAATTGGCAATTTAGTTGTTGGCAGCATTACAAGGACGAAAAAAGTGGGGGCATATCAGCCTTATCCCGAGAGACTGTGGCAGACTTCTGTTGGACTACTCACAAACAGTTTGGGACTCATTACGGGCTGTGAATGCATATAATTCACAGCCATTGAAATGAAAACAAGGTTTTTGGGATCAGCGTTATGATTGTTACTGTCTCAGGAAGCCTTGGTCAGAACACTCTTCTCTCTCTCTCTCTCTCTCTTCCTCTCTCCCTCCCTCTCTCTGTCTCTGTCTCTGTCTCTGTCTCTGTCTCTGTCTCTCTGTCTGGAGTTTCCTGGGCAAAATTTTCAGACCTGGTTTGCCATTTCTTCTTTCCATGGCTGACAGAAAGTGATTGGCCCAAGGCGAGGCTAGAACTCACAGTCTCACAGTTTCTAGCCTATAAAGCATAAAAACTAGGCGCAGGGAAATAGGGGTGCTGACCGATCTAAGCCCTCCTGATGTTTCCTCTCTCCTTCCCATCCCAGGGCCTTTTGAGGACGCTCTAAAGCACCACGAATCCATGTCAGCTTGCGGGGTGCAGAGTGGGCTCCATCTTGAGGACCAGTGGCCCAGCCCGCCCAGCCGCAAGGCTCCCATCGCCCCCACCGAAGACCAGTTGAAGCAGGAACTGTGGTACCATGGCAAGATGAGCCGACGGGATGCAGAGAAATTGCTGCACACAGACGGCGACTTCTTAGTCCGGGATAGCATCACTAACCCTGGGCAGTACGTTCTGACAGGGATGCACAATGGGCAGCCTAAACATTTGCTCCTGGTCGATCCTGAAGGAGTGGTAAGTGCCCGGATTTGGAGAGGTTGGTGCCTGAGATAGGAGAGCCTTGATGTTCTTTCGTTGGCTGTAGGAACGGAAATAAGGCAGCGAGGATGCCTTGATGTCCTGGGCTTTGCAAGGAAGCTCACCTACTGTACTTTCTTGAAGGTCGGGAAGCAAAAAATTAAATAAGGATGGATGAATGAGGACCTCACTCAGATGATGAATAACAGATAACAGATCATCAGAGTTGGAAGGGACCTTGGAGGCCATCTAGTCCAACCCCCTGCCCAAGCGGGAGACCCTACACCATTTCTGACAAATGGTGGTCCAATCTCTTCTTGAAAGCCTCCAGGGATGAAGCTCCCACAACTTCCGAGGGCAACTTCTGTTCCATGGGTTGATAGTTCTCACTGTCAGAAAGTTTCTCCTTATTTCCAGGTTGAATTTCTCTTTGTTCAGTTTCCATCCATTGTTCCTTGTCTGGCTTACAGGCACTTTAGAAAATATCTTGACCCCTTCCTCTCTGTGGCAGCCCCTCAAATATTGGAAGACCCCTATCCTGTCTCCCCTGGTCCTTCTCTTTGCTAGACTAGCCTGGGCCAGTTCCTGCAACCGTTCATCGTATGTTTGAGCCTCCAGTCCCCTAATCATCCTGGTTGCTCTTCTCTGCACTTTTTCTAGAGTCTCAACATCTTTTTTATAATGTGGTAAACAAAACTGAATGCAGGACTCTAGGTGTGGTCTTACTAAGGCTTTACAGAGTGGTATTAGTACTTCCCTTGATCTTGACTGTATCCCTCTGTTAATACAATTTAGGATTACATTGGCTGTTTTGCCTGTTGCTGCATACAGCTGGCTCCTATTTAAATGGTTGTCCACTAAGACTCCAAGATCCCCTCTCCCAGTTCCTGCTATTGAGCCTGGTTTCACCCAGTCTATATGTGTATTTTTGGTTTTTCTTGCCTAAGTGTAGGACTTTCCTTTTCTCTACATTGAATCATCAACGTTGTCAGCTGGTCAGTTAATTCCCATGGTAAATTCTGGGTGCATCACTACAAAGACGAGGGACTGGAGGCTAAAACATACGAAGAATGGTTACAGGAACTGGGTAGGTCTTGTTTATAGCCTAGAAAAAGAAGGACCAGGGGTGACATGATAGCAGTCTTCTAGTATCTCAGGGGCTGCCTCAAAGAAGAAGTAGTCAAGCTCTTCTCCAAAGCACCTGAAGGCAGGACAAGAAGCAATGGGTGGAAACTAACCAAGGAGAGAAGCAACTTGGAACTAAGGAGAAATTTCCTGACTGAGAGAACAATTAACCAGTGGAACTACTTGCTCCAGAAGTTGTAAATGCTCAAACACTGCAGGTTTTTAAGAAGATGTTGGATAACCATTTGTCTGAAGTGGTGTAGGATTTCCTGCCTAGGCAGGGGGTTGGACTAGAAGACCTCCAAGGTCCCTTCCAACTCTGTTATTCTATTCTATTCTACTAAAAGAATCTACCAGCAGGAAAAAGGAGATCCTCCATTCCCTTTCTTCTCTATTTACTCCCTTCCCTTTCTCCTTTCCCTTTCCTTTCTTTTCCTTTCCTCCTTCCCCTTTTCCTTCCCTTCCCCCTTCCTTCCTCTTCCTCCTTCCCTTTCTTCTCTTCATCCTTCACCCTTCCTTCCTTCCTTCCTTCCTTCCTTCCTTCCTTCCTTCCTTCCTTCCTTCCTTCCTTCCCTCCTTTCCTTCCTTCCTTCCTTCCTTCCTTCCTTCCTTCCTTCCTTCCTTCCTTCCTTCCTTCCTTCCTTCCTTCCTCCCTCCCTCCCTCCCTCCCTCCCTCCCTCCCTCCCTCCCTTGAGTTGTGAGATGAAGTGATAAATGAGCTGGCAGCATTTGTGAAGAATAACGAAAAAAAAAAAGGATGATTATAGTAGACTTGCTTGATGGGCCGGTTAATATGTTGCTTTTCATTAATATTCAGTGTAATGAATAACCTCCTTGTCGCTGGAGTGCAGCCTGTGAGCAAGAGAGGTCTGGCACAACACCACAGCACAGATTCCCCCAACAGGAAGTGTTGCTGTGAGAAAGAGGAAAGAAACGTGTGAAAATAATTGGGAAACGTGGCAAAGGCTGAAAGGACACTACGAATAGATGAAGAGGCTGTCCTGTATCTCTCTGTATGATTCGTCGCCCAGGGCTTATAACGAGGCTTTCCAAAATCGGGCAATTTTTACTCATTTTGGCACTGGAGGTCGAGTTCAAAGGAAACAGATTGCACATTTTAGGCAATCTTTCCTCATAAATGCAGGTCGTCCTCGACGTACGACCACCAATTGAGCTCAACTTTTCTATTGCCAAGCGAGAAACTTGTTCAGTGAATCTTGCCTCATTTTACGATCTTCCCGGCCGCCTTTGTGAAGCGAACCACTGCAGTTGTGCAGTTAGCGATCCGGTGGTTAAATGGATCGTTGCGGTTGTTCAGTTAATGGCATCGTTGTTAAGTGAATCCGGCTTCCCCTTCAACTGTGCTCATCAGAAGGTTGCAAAAGGCAATCACCTGACCCCGGTGATGGTATTATTATTATTTTTTTTACTACCAGTTCTCTGGGCGTGGCTTGGTGGGCGTGGCAGGGGAAGGATACGTGCAAAATCCCCATTCTCTCCCCACCTCACTAACCTGCTTTCCAGCTCCGTTCTCCTGTGCAGGGCAACCAAAGAAGGCCCAGCCAATCAGCTGGGACTTGGTAGAGAATAGATGGGGACAGGGGGGACAGTCAGAGGTGGGATTTGCCGGTTCTCCGAACTACTCCAAATTTCCGCTACCGGTTCTCCAGAACCGGTCAGAATCGGCTGAATACCATCACTGCCTGCCCCCCCTCCCCACCCGGGACACTGAAACCATCCGTTGCCAAGCATGGAGATTTGGATCATGTGACCGTGCAAGATGCAGCCACGGTCCTAAGCGTGAGACACAGTCATAAGTTCTTTTTACCGTTGTTGTAACCGGTAACTTTTGGAGTCGCGGTGCCATTGTAACTTGGAACCGCCGTGAAACGAACTGTTGGTAAGTCGAGGACTATCGGGATAGGAGGGCGGTGGGTGGTGGGCAGACGGGTTTCCCAGAATCTGCCAACGTATGTTCTCGTCTGTTTGTTGGGTTTATCCGACGGACTCGCCGAAATCTGGATTCCTGATCAGGAGGGGAGCTTTCCGTTCCCGCTTCTCACCCTTGTTTCCCCCCAGGTGAGAACGAAGGACGCCTTGTTTGAAAGCATCAGCCACCTCATCAACTATCACCTGCAAAACGGGCAGCCGATCGTGGCGGCGGAGAGCGAACTCCACCTGCGGCAGGTGGTCCGGTGGAAGCCATGAGGCTTGTGGGTAGGCGCCTGCGGTCCTCATCACGCGCCCCCCCCCGGGGTGGGTTGGGAGGTTGGGGAGAAGCAACCAGGGGTCTTGTGAGAATGGCCTTGGGAGAGGGAGACGGTGGTCAGATAAGGGAGAGCTCAGCCCACAGAAGGAAAAGGGGCCTGGGAAGGAGGGGAGAGCGGACGTTAGGCCTGCCTGGTTCTGTTATTGCCACCTTAAAATATTCTATATTTACCCCAGGACTGGCATCAAAGATCCATTTCTAAAGCTTTCCCTTCCTTCCCTTCCCTTCCCCC